TAGTCTGAATCCGCTCAATTGCTACTTTTGTATTCTGTGGATAATATAAAAAAAAAAACTCCTTCTTAAAAACAAATGCATTGTGTGTTCTGCAAATTTACTTTTTAAATTTAGATTTTTTTCTAGGTGTTCACATTTTCTCCCTATCTATTCTAGTTTTAAGCTAATAGTAAAAATCTCAAAATTTAGCTAAAAAATTCTTGTTGGGCAATATATAACTGCTAAAGAAAGTTGATTCACAATTTCAACAATGTTAACCCATTGGTAAATCTTATCTATAAGCGCATTTAAGCTGTATATTGCCTCTCTTTACCTATTAAAATTTTCAAGAACGAAAAAAAAATTAATGACAATTTTCATCTATATAAAAATAAGAAGATGTGGTATGTCAGCAATGTCAACATATTTTAACTCTTTTTTCGTTGATCAGTTTTTGGGAAGTATATTTATTATAGTTCTTAAGATAAAACCAAAAACGCAGAAAGGGAGAAACATCATTATTTATACGGACAACAAATGTTATGGAGTTGATTTCCAAATGATTTATCTTAACTTATTTTGTTGATCGTATATGGCTGATCTATTTCCGCTAACATTTTCTTCAAGTCTATATAGCTATATATAATACTTTTCAAGAAAATAGCAAAAAACAATCATAAACATTATTATTTTTTCCCGGTGTATTTATCTTTAATGGCAATCTATACAATAGCCATTATAAAGTGAAGTTTCTAAAACAATAGTAGAATCCAATCTATACGATGCCACTACAAAATGTAGTTTCTGAAAAAATTGCATAACTCATTTTTTAAAATGCAACTACAAAATGTAGTTTCTAAAACAATAGCTTGGCTCAGTCTATATTCTTTTTTGTTTGTTTGTTTGTACAGTTTGTTTATTTTCAATGACAATTTGTCGCATCTGGGACTAACATGAATAGTTAATCTTTTGGACCCAGGTTGTCTATTCTTTCATTTTTTTTAAAATATCAATTGAAGACTACAAGCTAATTTTATTTTTTAAAGTAACCATTATTTTATTAAAATGCTTATTGTTTTTCGATATTATGCGAATAAAAGTCTTTAGTGAGTCCGATAAAAGAAATATACCGCTTTATGGTGTATAACAGGAATGATTTATATTGTACACGGAATATGAAATCTTTCGTTACTTAAATTGTGTTCCCGGTTAAATGTCTGTAAAATATTGACACTGACAGGACACGTGCTTCAAACACTTAAGAATTTTCGATGAAGGATTATTTGTGAAATAAATGTATGTGCTCTTATAAAGAAACACAATCTGTGGTGAGTAAAATACTATTACAAAAAAGAATTACAATCATGTAGTTTGTAATATAAATATGTATAAAATATAAACTATAAAATTAACTTGTATAAATACTGGCGATGGATGGTAAATGACGGTGTAAACAATACACTAGTTCAAAGTGTGTCTTTTGTATTCAAATGATAACTATAACTTTAATACCGAGGCACAAGTTATTTCATAATAATGTATATATATCCACAAGATTAGCAAAGAATAAGCAAATACGACTATTAATAGTAATTACAATATTTGAGATAAACGGTCAGTTTACATATTCCAAAAAAATGTTTTTTTTTGTTTTTTTCTTTTTTTTTTGATTTAGCGATCATTTAGATAAAATCATTCATATCTTTCTTAAAAATATGGAAAGATAGATTTTTCATTAAATGCTGTTTTGTTGAATTTAATGTAGTTCCGACTTTTCCAAATACTAAATTTTCCCGAAAACCCTATAAAATTTCCAATATTTATATTTATCAATATCTTGATTATATCCAATAATCATGTTTTGGACAACAAAGTTAAGCGTTATATCTATGCACAGATAGCAATCTTTTTATTTCTTCAATGACGATTTTGAATTTTATAACAATAATAGAATAAATGCTCCTGGGTTTCAAACATTTGCCACATAAGTAACATAGGCCATCAGACTTTTGCATTTGGTATAATTTAAATTCAGTATAATGTATTCCATTGGAATTGGAAAATTTTGTTTGATACAGGCAGCTTGGGAAGCTTTTTCCAAACTTATTGCTAGTCTAGTTCAGTACTTAATGTTCTACTCCATTTAATTTCACATTTTGCACTAGTACATTTTTGTAATAATTTAAATTGAATTTTTTCTCGGGGAATTCATTTTCTTTCCATATCATAATTTTTATGTGTTATTATTCTGGATTTTCATGTGCTTCAAATTAGTTGGATTACTATAATCATTGGCGCTTTTTGTTCGTGAATCCAATTAGTGGGGGATTGATTTCTTTATTAGAATGTATTCGCATATCCAATTACGTTTATCAAATATTTTTTTATTACTATAAAAGGTTTCAGTTTCGATATTCCAAACATGATCCATTTTGGCCATATGACTCTTAGTAAAGGAAGGGAGGAGCAAAGGTTTCCCTTACCATTTTATATTGTTGATACCAAATATATTCTCTTCAAGAATACTATTACAGGTACGTATCAAATATTATATACCAATTATGTTGTCAAAGTGTTTTAGCCAGTATTTGGCAATTGCATTCCATCTTTGTGTTGGACTTTCTGAAACTCTATAAATTAAGTTTACATGTTTGTTTTTCATGAAACTTTACAAACTGATTCATTTTGACCCCCCCCCCCCCCAAAGCTTTCACATAGACAACATAAAAACGGAGGCAAGACAGCATTCATCATATTTTAAACCAAGTTCGACTTTGTAGCAATTCGGTTAAAAACAATAATTAAAAGATTTTCTGCAATTTGCTGGATAATAACTAACATCAAATACTAGAAGAAAATGTTTAGTAAGAGGTTTACTTGTTGCAATGTTATTGTACGACTGAACTAAGATTAGACACAACCTTTCCATATTTCAGCATACTAGAATTCTATATATTTTTTTACTTCACTAGAACGAAAGATTTATCTATTAGGTTTTTGAGTTTTTTGATCGAGCCATTGATCGTTTTGATAAAATCTCAGATTTGTCTTGGAGTTTTTCTGGGACTGATCGGTTGTTTCATCAGTTCCTCATTTGTTGTTTCATTTGTTTAACATCACTTGTATCATCAGTTCCTCGTTTGTTGTTTCATTTGTTTCAAATCAATTGTATCATCAGTTCCTCATTTGTTGTTTCATTTGTTTCAAGTCTGTTGTTTCATCAGTGCTTCATTTGTTGTTTCTTCAGCTTCTCATCAATTTGTCATCTGCTATTTCATTTGATTCACATCTGGTTTTTCATCAGTTTTTCATCTATTGTTTCATCATTTTATCATCTGTTGTTTCATCCATTTCTCAGCTGTTGTTTCATCAGTTTCTTATCTGTTTGGTTCTGTTGTTTCATCTGTTGTTTCTTCATTGTCTCATATGATGTTTCATCAGTTTATCGTTTGTTATTTCATCAGTTTCTCATCTGTTGTTTCATTTGTCTGATTTTTCTTTAGTTTCTCATCTGTTGTTTTATTAAATTCCCATCGGTTGTTCCATCAGTTTCTCATCTGTTGTTTCATCAGTTTCTTGTATGTTGTTTCAACAGTTCCTTGTCTGTAATTTCATCTGTTATTTCATGATTCTGAACTGTTGTTTCATCAGTCTCTCATTTATTGTTCCATCAGTTTCTCATCCGTTGTTTCATCGGTTCTTTTTCTTTTGTGTCTCATACAGCTTAATTATTATTATCATGCTGTACAATTTCTAATTCTTTTTTTGTAATTTTTGTTAATAAAAATTGTTCCGTATCTTTCCTTGGCATTTACCTATCAAATTCATGGATAAAAATCAAAGAGCTTTTTCCTTGATATACCATTATCAATATCAAAATAGAAACACCTGGTTAGAAAATTGCAAAGTTTTGCTTCATTATATATGAGTTTAAAATATTCAATATAGCCTCAAAAACCTCAAGGAATTGAAATAGCTTCAGCTTAATTGGTAGTCAATATTCAATACAGATGGATTTATAATATTTGATTTTGTGCACAACTGATTAAGATTACATTTTTGAAATGTGCATATGATGCATTTAAAATACATTTTAATATTATATGAATTATTCTAACTGTAAGCCGACAGATTAAAATGGCCCTTGTGAAAAATAAGCATTAACTCTTTTTGATATTGTGTTGATTTCTGACAAATAAATGAGAAATCCTTACAGATATTTATCTGCTTCCAAATCAAATATACCCTTTTATTCCAGTATTTATCGTAGCTTATATATAATTGACATCAAATACAAAAGGCATAAAAGATAAACTGGCTGATCATGAGATGCCTAATGCAAACTTAACCAAAGCAAGAATAATGAATGTAAAAATAATGTATATATAGTAATACCAACAACTCAAAAGTATTTTGTCAGTATCAATGACAACTTAATTAAAATTGTCAGGAAAACACTTTACCAAAGTAAAAATATCGGATGATGTGACCCAATTTTTGTATGGACCTTATCTTCCAATCATGATGTTCAAGATAACTTTCCACTAGGAAGTCAAGTATTTGCTTAAATTTGGACTATAATGTAAAACTTGACCTAAAAAGAAGGTGATGAAACTGAAGTTACTATCCAGGATATGCAACACAATTTAATTCCTCTATTACTTCAACTCATCTCAAGTCAGGAACTTATTTAACTTTCTCCTTTATATGGGGGTGTGCTGTAAGTGAGCTTGATCACTAAATGTTCATTACTTGTATAACTGTTTCACTGAGTATACCTTTTATTCACACTTAAGCAGTCATTTATGTGTAGAATGTATGCTGAAATTATTTGGTTTCAATGAACATTTTGACAACCCTAGATGTGTGCACTGAATATACTTCCACTTTGATCTGTACTTTCTTATATATGAACCATCACCTATAAATTTTTTTAAATGATAGTAGGACAGATCATCAAATTAAATGCTATGTAATAGGATACAAAAGTTAAAGTATTGCATATAAAAAATTAACACCTATTTTCTGTTTTAGTTTTAATCCTCAATAAGTAAACAACAATTACATACAGTTTCATAGAATTTACACAAAACAACTAACAGTCTGCATTAGATCATTAAACATACAACTCTTGAAAAATTATCTTATAAAAAGAACCATATTACTCAAAATCAGGTATCCCTATGTCGTCTGCTATACCAAATTCAGCTCATGGCAAGTGCAGATGAAACAATGTATTAAAGATATATAAATAAGCGGCAGCAGAAGTTTACTCATGTTCAATTATATATAAATTTGTAATTTTGCGTTTTAGAATCTAATGGATTATGGGTAATTCCACAGTTTATACACTAAATTGAAATTAATGATATCCCATTGGTTGGATATTTAAATTTAATACTTTTTAACCAATCACAACAATTTGGTGAATGCTTTTGAAAATTTTACCCAGAATGCATTATATTCTGAAAAAAATGAATTTGACTTAATCAATTTGTTATGGTACATGTAGCTCAACACAAAAGAAAAGCTGGTTATACAAATGTTATATGGCATATATAAATGCTTGCCATTTAAAAATTCTATACATGTATTGTATACATCTTTGTTTATAATCTAGTCGTTATAAAACTAGAAATTAGAAAAACTATTCCTTCTGTTTGAAATTTGATTTTTACATGATTTCCACTACTCTAAGTTCATTTCTTTCAACAATAAATCAAATTCTATAAAATACAGGTCATAATGAAAAAATATAACAAAAAGTTAAGTGCAATACAACAAAATTTACTTGTCCAATCAGACAAGGGTAAGCTAATTAACATATACTTTTTGGTCCAAACTAATTCTCTAGAAAATTTGGAACGAAATAAATAATTCCCTTATGGCAGCTCCATATGAATTTACCTCAGCAAAAAGGAGCGTTACACCTATAATCTTCAGATTCCAGACAAGAGAGAAAGTTTTCAATATAATTCATAAGATAAGAATGTTTAAATGTGTGTACTCCACCACCAAGAAAATTTTAAAGAAAAAGCCACAAAATATCTTATTATCTCATTTTCTGTACAGGGGCTCTTTCAAAAATTTATCGTAACTCATACAGAAATGTTCATGATAAGAGTATTTTTTCTCTTAAGTTTATTTTTGTGAAATTGATCTTGAAAATTTACTCTATAAAAGAGTAATTGACAAGAGTCATCAGGAATGTAAACATAAACATAAAATCAGTCATTTTTATGTAGCCCACTTCAAAAAGAAAAAAAATTGTGATTGTGACACTGAATTCTCAGTTTTGTAAGAAAGTAGGTTTAGCAAGTTTAAAAGCCTCTTTGCTACATACCTGTATAACAAATAATAAATATATATTTTTGAGATTTTTGTCATAATTTTGGCATCTGTTGCATGAAACCTAGGCATCATACCCAGAAGAATATACTCCTTGCATTATATAAAAAAAAATAACTTATGTCGATATACATTTACTTTTCAATTGTGACATATCTTTGCAATCGCAACATGTCCTACTATCAAGAATATTATACATCAACTATAAAAGTAGTTATTTAGGCCATGTTCCTAAAATTTTAAATATAGACATAAAAATGATCGAAACAACAGGAAACCATGCAGGAAATAAATGCTTTCAACATAAATGGGGAGATCGCAAATAATGAAATGACAAGAATCTATTTGAGGTAATAAAAAAGTACCGTTTTATATTTTTTTCATTTGACAAGTGATGACGTAATCTATTATATACTAAGTAGTAAATACAAGTAAATTTTATTTGCAATACAATCAGTGGCAATCTTTCTGTATCAGCCATCTGTGAATATATCGATATCAGTCATGGTTGCACAGGCTCCATCAAACCCAAACAGAAAAACATCCGTTTTAAGTATATAATAGAGTGTTTATGATATAAACTATACCTTTTCAATATAACTAATTTATCCTACCTTCTATAGACTTCAGAGATTTTAATTGGCTGAGCGATGTAACATGCTGACCATGTATTATAAATATACAGATAAAAATGTGTCATCCACAGCAACAATGATATCAATCCAACCCTAGTGAATGACATTTCCCATCAGAGTCTGAATAAATATAGGGAAAAAAAGAATATGATATTGTTTTACATCACATCAAATATCAAAGAAGGATGTTCTGTTTAACATAAATATATATGTGCATGTATTATGAAAAGAATTGTTGGCAGTTTGTGATTATCAGAGGGGAAATGATGTTATGAGACAAATATATTTTGTTAACATCAAATATAATACTCCCCTGAAATTTACTTTATCCTGGGAGTTCATAAATTTTACTTATTTTTTTTTCCTCTGAGTCTACAAACTGTTTTGGCAAAAAAGCTTGATCTTGAGGGTGTTGATGTTGTGGAATTCCCCCTCCCAGTCTAATGATAATACTGTGCATTAGGGCACACTTTCAGAAAATCAACATTGTCTTCTTAGTAAATCTGGGAAGAGAAAGTTTATTAACCGACTTGCATGGATTAGAAGATATAAGAGAGACTTATTGTATCTGTAACAGGGATTTCTTTCCTTGGATGTTTCAGGACTATATATAATTCCTGAGGATATATACTACAATATTAGCATACCCTAAGAAATTCCACCCTTTTACCTACTAAAAAACTTTATATTCAGCAGGCAGAAAATGAACCTTTATTTTACCTACTAAAAATCATTTAATCAAGCAGGTAGAAAATGAACCTATTTATTTAGTAACTTTACACATAAAAGAGATTTATCATCAAATACCTATGAACAGTGCAGGAACCAAATTACCAGATGCTATTTTATCATCAATCAAAGATTTCAAAGGTAAGAGCAGCAACTAAGATTGTGATCAACTTGTAATAACATGTTGTAAAAATATTTAATACAAAAACAGAAAAATACAACACATACATGTTCTTCCACATCCTAAACATTTTAACTCCATTTACACAAAAGTCTTCAAGTCCTGATCAAATTTATTTAAGTGACCATAAAAATACACCACCAAAAGTAAATGCTGCTCAACCACAAATTCCCATCGAAACATGGGTGTAATAGAGAAAAGCATTCAAAAAATGTACACATATAACAGAATCAGAAAATATTTAAACATTTCCTATGTTCTCGTTTCCTCAGACGCTCTTCACACACAAAAAAAAAAACATAGAATTAAAATTTATAACATGTGATATGGAAATGTTTGTGACTTTTATTTTCTTGTAGGATTTTTGTAAAAAAGGTCTTTCATTGTTAAAAAGCTGGGGAAAAAAAATATTATTTACAAAAAGAATCAATCATATACTACTAGTTTGTAATGGCATAAATAGATCTTTTGTTGCAGCAATCGCACTACATGTATTAACTCCTTAAAAATATAACCATCTATTGAGCTATATTTTATGTCAACTTTTAAAATATTACAATATTTAAAAAAAAAATTGCCTCAGTAAGGAGCCAAATTAATATCTTTCATCCACTAAAAAAAAACCAAAAATATGATTTGATTAAATTATGATTTTAGGATAAAACTGTTTCCTATAATCACAATCAATGAACAGAACATAAAGCTAGAAGCTACCTTCAAAGCAACAAAACACTATCCTGAACAAGAATTTTTGGTATGTACGGGAACTCCCTTTCAAATACTATTTATGAAAGAATCTGTGAAACGAGGTGAATTCTTATTGCAAATAATTACTGGTAATTGGTTTAATTAAAGCTCTGATGATGCTGTAATACCTCAACAAACTTTTATTTTGATAGAAAAGTATCAACATTTTATTTTAATACCTTGAGTAAACTTTCTTAAAATATTATTGACATAATTTTAGTACTTTGGCTGGTAAATTGAAAGTTCATATTCAAAGACTGTAAGAATCTATCTTAGCCTAGATTTTGTAGACCAATTCTTTACTATTTAACAAAGAATATTTACACAAATTTAGATTCCTACATATCTGCGGCCTGTCCTTTTGTGACAATTACTAATATTGAAAGACAATATAGGTAAGTAATTACAAAGTAGCGAATCAAAACTCAATTATCTACATGTATATGTTTTTCGATAAATTTTCAATAAGTGTAATAATAATCAAAGTTGGTCAAAGTTATAAATTGCTTAATAATAGTTTATAAGTATACACTAATACTAACCAAAAGTTTACACAATAAATTATTTAATAAAATGTGACCAAAAACACAAAATATACTGTACAGTCATATTGACATCAGTTCTATATCATTCAACATGAACATTTTCATCCTGGGTTAGGAGAGTTCCAGAATTAAACGCAAGGGGGGCCTAGGAGGCACTTTTTAAAGACCCCTACCACCCATAAAATAAATATTTTCATTTTACTTTAATTCTTACAAAATTCTATGGAAAATGCAACCCAACCAACCATATTCAATTAATTTGAGTTCCTCCTATCCTTCCCCCATCCAATAAATTTGGTAACAGCCCTTAAGTGTTTTTCTACTTTTCTATCTAACAGAAAAAAAAAGATAATTTAAGATATTTTAACTGTGAAAAAATATGCAATTCCTGTAACTTACCACTTGTGCTAACAATTAATAGAAAGGGCTAATATGTTGATGAATTATGAACAAAAGTCTTAGAATGAAGATTGCAGGTAAGGAAGCCTTTAATTCAAAATTTTCACATAATCTAATAACTCATAATGATGAATGAATGGCATTTAATGCAGAATTATTCTCCTTAATTCAAATAATTGCACCAATACATAAATACAGAAAAAGCAGATTAAATTTATTGAAATAAATTTAAATAAAATTAATTAACAAATTAATAACAACACATACCATTAAATGAAATATAAAGATGCTCTCAAAATCACTGTCAATTTAGTCTGTACACACATGCCAACTCTTTCTTACACTGCACTTTACAATGAAGATAACTTTCTCACACCAAATATAAAGAAATTTATGTATAATATCTACACTAAGGATTTTAAGGCAAATAAAGAATGTTAAATTATAAAATGTGACCTCTAATAATTGTGTTTGAAAAAAAAAATATACATTGTATCTAGGTTCTCTCATGTCTGAACAGAGTACAAAAAATTTTAAGAAAAATCTTTTCAAATCGATCCATTTAAAAAAATCATTACAATCATACCAACGCATTCTAATAACTCAAAATACTTAAAATGTCTCAAGTTTTCCCCAATAGTTCAACAATATATGACAGTTTTGAAGTAAATGATATGAAACTTCTTCAGTTTACTGTCTGAAAGATTTACAAGGATATACTTTTAATATTTTTTAAGGAATATTTCTTTAAAGGAAATACTTTGCTACTGTGGATTAATACACATATTTAAACTTGTAGGCAAATTTGTCCGCCATTACTTGAAATCACACAAGTTCCTGCAAAACGTTGCATCGCAATTTAAAAAGTGATTGTTGCTTGACGTCAGAAGGTGATTCGGAGACAGATCTAGTGTCATTTGGAGACAAAATTCAGCTAAATACCAAAAGTGTAAATACGTCTATTATTTTTCGTGTGATACCAATTTTTGTGGATTTGGTGGGAATCAATAATCCACGAATTCAAATGTGCAATGAAGTATTAATTTTCTATAGGCTTGTATGCAGACTTTGGAAGAATCAAATATCAACAAAAATTCTATTTTTTCCTCCATCCATGAAAAATGTTATCCACGAAAATAAATGAACCCCCAGTATCTAAATGGCAGCCATTTGAAACTGAACTGTATTTAATCAATCTAGTACTTCCTTATATATGTCCTTCAAATATCACCATCAATATTTCATATTGAACAAAAGTTTAATATTTCTTAAATCATCAAAAAGGTATAAACCTAAAAACAAGTTAAGAAATCAATTATGGTATTTCTCATAGTTAAATCTCCATAAAGCCATTGATACAAATTTTTTAATTTTGACAAAAAGCTATTTTTAGAGTTCTTAATTTTTGTGACTATACCTATCGTCTCCTCTTATCAAAGCCACCGAAAAACTTTAATTTTAAATTTAAAATATTCCTAAAATTTAGACCTTCATCTATTAACAAGAAAACAACAGTTTCCAAATAACAATATAATAAACATTCAACTGTCTCACTTGTACCATGTTATTGATACATTCTGGCAAATATTTTATACAAATTTTTAAGGAACTTGTCAAATGTCTCAGATGATATGTTCCAAATATTCCAACAAGAAACTCCAAAGCTAACAATGTTGTTGAAATGTACAATGCTCGTAATGATCATATACATAATTGACTCGTACAAAGCATCCACCCAGTTCAGTCAAACCATGTGTCCCGACAGCATCCATACCTAATTTAAATAAGTCTAATTCTTTGATTTGCTGAGTTTCTTCCCCTTCTTTACCACAGGTTTGTGTTTGATGGAACCAGTCTTCTTTTTACCAGTCTGTAAATAATATATCAAATTTAGTAACCATTTTTACAATGAACAGGAAATTAAAATAGTTCAACTAGCAATCAATTCCTATCATGACATTTCAAAACCTTGATTAAAGCTTTTAAATTCTTAAAATTTGATGGAATCCATTAAATTGTTAGAGCAGCATGTAAGACAGCCTAGGCACTCTATATTGGACAAACATTTAATGCATTGACAATAATTCTTCAAATTTTACTGGACAAACTACAACTTTAAGGATGTATTCTTCTGACGTTACAGTCTCATTGAAATCTCGTTCTGGAATTATTTCCAAAACATGTGATACAAGTGGAAAATATCAATGAATTTAAAACAAATGTTATAATCAAGCTTAACTCTGTGAAAAAATTGTGTATTTACAATGAGTAGTTTTTGAGTAATCAATTCTTCAAATTTGTTACCAATCAAGTCAGTCTTTTTAGCCAAAATTTTGAGAAAATGGGTGAGGGGTACAAGAAATGATTTTACCAGAAACATGTACATCCCATATCACGTTTTTCTTTTCAAATTTCTTAGATATGTATTTTTTCAATCATTTATTACAAAGAAGTTGAAATAATATGCATTTTGTTCTTAAAACAGAGAAAAATCACAAATTTACAAAATTGACAGTATGGTTAATTTGACACAAAAAAGCATCAAAATATGATAAAACTTTCTTATATTAACACCTACCTGTAGTTTTTTTAAGTTAAATTTATTCAGATTGGTCCACTTCATCTTTATTGAAAGTATGAAAAAAAGTTTAATTGTGGAACTGTGATTTTTTTCACGATAATAGCCCAAAAATAGGAAAAAATTGATGAAAAATGGGTAAAATCATCAAAATTGGGTACTTTCAAAGGGCTGTAGCAAAAAAAGATGTGCACCACCATATGATTTTTTCTTCACCAATTATTTTTTTATAGTCATATAAACCCAAAAATCAGGTTAAGAAAAAAAGTTTAATTATAGAAATTTTTGGCTCCTCAGAGGTGTACATCCTTAAATGCAATAATGGTGAAAAAGGGATAAATTTTCAGATTAAATCCTTGTCGGTAGACTGCAACTCTTTTAAGATTAATTATGTTTTAGTGAAATGTTCGTGACTTGTGCTTTAACTTATACAATTTTTTTTCAACATGCTCTTCATACAGATTTCCAAGTTTAAATGAACATCTGGAAAGTTGTCTCCAATAATCAAATAATAAGACAGGTGTATAATGACAAATCCCTTTCTTTTTTTTTCTTCTCTGAATTGTATTCATGAATATAATTACCTTCTTGCTCCTCTTCTTTGGCTTTACTTTTGGCATAGCTTGATTTTTGACAATATCTCTATTTGTCAAATCTTTGACACGATATATCCTAACTAACCAATGTTCAGTAGTGTAAGCCTCTTCTAAATGTGTCAAATCAAAATTCTTGTTGCCAATCTCTACATTTCTTGTCCTATCAAATCCAGGAGGACTTCTGAAGTCAAGCTGTAAAAGAAGATTTACTATATTATTGGTATCTCATTTTATAAAGGGCTAAATTGAAATTCCAAGGAATAACATAAAATTGAATTTGAAACTATTAAAATGCATCTTCATTTATAATGTCATCTATCCAGTAATATTTTGCAGTGTTATTTTCCTATGTTTATAATTTCCTTTTTCTTTCTGACCTCCATGATATCTTCTTTCTTATGCTTTCATCACCCACGTATATCACATTTAATTTAAGTGAATTTATTAGGAACCTTTATGCCAAAAATATCCATGCTAGTCCATGAATTATCTAAAAAAAAACAAAAAAAAAACCTGTTTTTTCTGGAGATTTCTAAGTACAAGTAGAGTGATTTTCTTGGATGCCACCACCACAATTGAGTCTTTTAATAAATGTAATACAAAGCTAGTTGCATATTACCTGAAGTTCTCCAAATCTGTAGTAGGACAGTTTGTACATCAAACAATTCAGCAATGTCTTAGACCCAGCAGAATCAACACGGAACTCTCCTTGCGGTGTAAAATAATCACTTTCCTGCAAATTGAAATTTATTAGAATATTTTAAGAAAAGTAATGCATAGAATTTTTTTGATTTTCAGAAAGTAATAAAAGTTCTTTTCAATTTGTTGGTTTTACAAATTTCTTAAGGTGAAAAAGTTGGATTGGTTGCTCCAGATTCTTGGATAAACGATTTCAACTGCTGTAAATTCAGAAATTATTGTGTGCATTTATTATTTCGATTTTTCAAAAATAGAAAAGAATGAGAGTTTAATTATTGCGATTTTAGAAAAACCTACATTCAAAATCTCTGTTTTACTTATCAAATGTGAGTTCTTATTATTGCGATACTCACCTAGTTGCGTTATTTGCAATCATAAAAACCTCGTAATTATTTCTGAATTTACAGTAATTGCAACTCACTGTAGATACGTAATGCACTGTAAAAAATGATATAGCTCTTTTCCATTTTGTGTGCCAAGAGAATGGGAATTTTTTCTATAGTGGTGTATAAATCCAAAGCTTTTTCAGAATTTACTTGTAATCTTTTTTATTCTTATATCCTGGTGAAAAGTTTTGCTTGTTTATTTGAATGTGTAATTGTCAATGATTTTAGAGTCAAAAATAGACAAAAATATCCACTGAAATTCAGGAAACATTGTATACTAGTATACCAAAAGAGCAGCTTTTTATTGTTGCTTTTCATCATGACATTTGTTGAAAAATGTTTCGGAAATATTTTTTAAAGATAGCCCTATAACACAGCCATTAAACTACATTTTTTCCTTTCTTTAAAATTCTAATATTTTCTTCCGTCGTCTTACCCTGATATCTTTCGGATGTTCACCTTCTGCTATTCTAACCATCCACAAGAACTTGTTAATATCATCTCCAGAGTAACCTATGACCCCACCAAATATAACCAATACATAGTCCACATCTAACATCCTCATGATGTCATAAGCTGCTGTCTCATTGGACGACATGGCTTTACCTACCTATATTAAATATGAAATCATAAAATAAAAACTTAGCAAAATTAAAACACAAAAGTCTTCTTCATGAAATTGTAGACTACCCTGTTACTAGATATGATCTTAGTAAAAAAAAAATGGACTGATATATTCTTATCGTGTCCAACATCCTATAACATTGTGAAAAATCTCCTTTTTCAACAATGTCCATACATTTTAAAATCCATATTTATATCAAACAAGTAACAAAAAGGATAATAGGGTGACAAGAGTGGAAAATCTCAGACAATTATTTGGTATGATTAAGTTCATTGCCAAATCAAATTAAGTAGAAACTGAAAATCCATACATTTGCTACTTACAATTTCACAGTCTTTTACTCTTACCAGTAACAAATTCTTAATATCTTTTGTCCTATCATTCTTAACTTGAGAATACAGTCTTTTTCAGACTAGAGAATAATTGTTTTATCTTCCACATGACCTTATGTACATTGTACAATACAGATTATATTCTGTAAGTCTCAACAAAGGACAGGATAGTGAGTTACCTACCAGAGCTATATGGCTATTGTTCCAAGTGTTATTATCCACCAGTGTTGTCCTGTTCCCCATACCCGCTATCTGGTACCCATAATCCCACCATGACATTACTCTAGCTTTATCACCAGTATTCTGACGTAACCAGAAATAAGCCTCTCTAAAATCATCCAATATTGTTCTGCTTCTGTAAATATGAGAACAATTGTATTTTAAAAGTCAATTTGAATAGAATGAAAAATTAATACAAATGTAATAAAACAAACAAATTTCAATTTTTTATGTGAAACTTCTCTTTTTGTATGAGTGGGCACAACCCATGCAAAATACTACATACATGACATAAGAAGCAATAGTATAAAGTTAAACATGATTAAGATAAAAGAAATATTATACTTGTCTCAATGCTGAAGAATTTCAGCTGAAATGCTCCATTTATATATATTTATATTTTCCTATATATTTTCATTGAATTAATTTTGTCAAAGGGGTATTTTGATTTAAATAGAAATTGTAAAAACACTAATTAGCTAGTGAAATAAAAATTGCCAATGAAATTCAAGCAAATCTAAATCAAAGTTAACTGTTTTGATTTCAACAACACCCAATTTTTCAAACTACTTTTATCTAAAATTCAGTACATGTGCCAGTGTCAAAAAATTTGTATGATGTCAATGGGAGTGCTTCAGTTTGAAAGTCATCAAAACTTTGCTATCAAACCAAAAATCACTGGGATATTGGTACCTAAATCTTTTCTGCAAACAAAATAGCAAATTATACCAATAAGAAGGTACCAAGATACTCCTGAATGACACATATTGCTCTTGTATCCGTTAAACCTAACTATATCTAGAAATGAACAGTTATAAATAGACTATTTACCCATCATGATTGTAGGAAGCCAGTACTATACTGGGACTAGAATAAGCACTACTTGTGACCCATGTACAGTGGACAGCAAACAACATTAACATCATCAGTAGGGCTATAACAATGATTGTTTTAATGTTCATTCCCACACTATCCTGATCTTTTGGACGGTCTTCTTTTACTTTCTTCGGTTTGGCAACCTATAACAAAGATGCTTGTTTTAAATAAGCACTTAACAACAGGAAGTAAATTAACTTCAAACATACAAATCGCTAGAGAATCTTATGGGGAAGAGTTGATATTTCTGGTTAGGGCTGTTGCATAAAAACATACATGGGACCCAGGGAAGGCACTTTGAAATTGCTACTATTCGTAAGTGTCAAGTATAGTGGAAATGTAATTGAAATTCTCAATTTGCCTCTATACGTGCTTACCCCATTATGAAAGTGCCTTCCCTGGGTACCATGTATGTATTTTTGGAACAGCCCTTACATGAAATTCTGGATACCAGTTTGTGTGGTTTGCCGAAAAAAAATAATTGTTTCCTGTTTTTTTTAATTCCTGGTTTACAATTTATCACACATCATATCAATGGATTTCTAAGTATATTAAAGTACTGAGGTCTTGATTAACAAGAAGTTTCATGCCTGAATAAAATTACATCATAGATTTCACAATTCCTTTAATAATAAAATCATGTATGATTTATTTTTATGCAAACCAATGATTATTGATATTAAAGTATAGAATGGACTAAGAACTTATTAAGTATTCCAAGGACATGTGTCCCCTACCATCTCCAAATAAAATAAACAGAAGTGGGGAAGTTCCATGTTTTGGTAAGGGAAACCCCAAAAATCACAAATTAAAAATGTGCAGGTACACATCTTCTTGTCCTGTAGAAAAATCTATGCAAGGTTGGTGGACTTCTGTCAAGACATTTTCAAGGAGCTGTAGATTAACAAAATTACATGAGCAAAAATAGACTTATACCCATGTTTTGGTATGGGAAACCACACAACTGCAAAAATTAAAACTAAAGTATCAGGACAAAGTTGATTACTATATGTAGCTATATTTTTTCTCTTCTTACATTAGAAATGAACGTAACAAGTGCATGCAATATTCCTTGGTTTGTAAGAAATAAAGAAATATCAATTCTGACAACTATGGAGTGACTAGTACTTGAGGTTTGTCGTAAAGTCTATCGTTTTTATTGTCTTGTTTCTTTTCTTCCTCATCCTCTTTAGAACTGGACTTTGGTGAATCATCCTTTAAGTAAATCTCAAATGTTTTAGAGAATGCAATGGCAGCTAGGACACACACAACTGGAGTCAGTGTCAACATCAAACGCACCATCACTCCAGCGAAATAACTGGCAAAGATTGCATACAATATCACTGTAAAAAATACAAAAAAGTGAGTTAGTGTCAAAGTTAACTTTGTCATACCTACATGTACAGCAAAATATTTGACAAATTTGGCATACATTATCAAAAAAAGATATAATGAATAGTTCAGGGTCATTGTCAGCATCACCTGTCCTATCAATTTGGAAATATAACTTCCAAATATATATTGCATACCTGATTATTAAATGAAAATGACAGTGGCAACTCTTTGACCTCAGTAATACTGTTATTACTTGAATATGTACATAGCATGGTAACTAAGACAATACATCTGAAGTAACAAGGAATTGCAACAGCCATTCATGACAGAAATATTGACCTTATTTTAAGGAAATGGTTAACAAAATTATTGTTCCTACAAATGTTTACCAACATGGCTTTAATTGTTTTTCATACCACAGAAGGTATACATCATGCACATATAGACAAGAGTGCACACGCTGAAATGTCGCGCCTTCTTTACTAACCATTGATTTTATGTTGATAGTCTTAAATACAAAGCTTTACTACAAGTAACACATAAACTTAACATGATCCAAGAAAATGAGGTCAAGGTCAGATAAACCAAACGAGAAATACATGTACACCTTACAATCATTCAATAAACCAAACATAGTTGACCTATTGCTTATTGTTTCTAAGAAACAGTCTTAAACAAGAAAACTAAACATTGACCAATGAACCATAAAAATGAGATCAAGGTCAGATGAACCATGCCAGACAGACATGTACACCTTACAATCAATTTAGGCATTAAATATAGTTGACCTATTGCTTATAGTATTTAAGAAACAAACTTAACCATGAAAACTTAACATTGACCAATGAACCATGAAAATGAGGTCAAGGTCAGATGATACCTGCCAGACAGACATATACACCTTACAATCCTTCCATACATCAAATATAGTTGATCTATTGCTTATAACTGAAGAAAAACAGACCAAAACACAAAAACTTAACACTGAGAAATGAACCTTGAAAATGAGGTCAAGGTCAAATAAAACCTGTGAGACTGACATGTACATCATAAATATTTCCATACACCATTTATAGTTGACGTATTGCATATAGTATTAGAAAAAAAGACCAAACTCAAAAACTTAACTTTGACCACTGAACCATGAAAATGAGGTCAAGGTCAGATGACACCTACCAGCTGGACATGTACACCTTACAATCATTCCATATACTAAATATAGTAGACCTACTGCTTATAGTATCTGATATATGGACTTGACCACGAAAACTTAACCTTGTTCACTGATCCATGAAATGAGGTCGAGGTCAAATGAAAATTGTCTGACGGGCATGAGGACCTTGCAAGGTACGCACATACTAAATATAGTTATCCTATTACTCATAATAAGAAAGAAATTAACATTACAAAAAATGTTGACTTTCTTTTCAAGTAGTCACTGAACCATGAAAATGAGTTCAAGGACAATGGACATATGACAGACAGAAACTTCGTAACATAAGGCATCTATATACAAAGTATGAAGCATCCAGGTCTTCTAGCTTCTAAAATATAAAGCTTTTAAGAAGTTAGCTAATTCCGCCGCCGTAGCCGCCGTTGGATCACTATCCCTATGTCGAGCGGCTCAACAAAAAATAGTACCAAGCAATCTTTTACTGAACTATTTTTCCACATAATGCAGCACATAACCTTCCTGAGGGAATGCAAAATCATGAAACTGTTATACCCGAGATATGTCTTGCTTGTGTAACTGCCTTTTTTTACTGAGGCAGCATAGAGCAAACATCAATCAATTTCGTGTAACCGTATCCAAAACTTTAACAAATATTGACACTGCTAACACCCACAGAAAAAACAAGTCTCCCTTCTATGGCTATCATGAGACATAAATCTTACCAAACACTCGCTCATCATTTACTTCCTTGACACAATACCACACACCAGCAGGGAATGCACACACTAAAATATGAAGATCAAAGAAGAAGGAGACCCATGTTGTAGGCTGGTGTTCTGACACACTGGCAATGATTGGGATATGTATTTTAGCATATCCTGTGTCCCACAGGGAATAAAACCTTCCACTCCATGGATGAATGTAACCTACAAAAATAATATTACTTTTCAATGTTCTGTCAAATATGCATTTCGTGAACTAAGACTATATAACTATATTTCACAATTTTTGTTCTAAAAAATAATCAAGTAATATTACATTTACATGTGTGGACATACACTGTGCTGACAAAACAAACATATAAACATATTCAAAACTAGAGCTCCCTCTCCTTTAACCTAAATCAGACATATAAACATATCATATATTATCCTTTTCAATCAATTTTTAAACTAAAACTCTTCAAGAAACATCCAAGTAAACATGTTTCAGCAAACGAGATAAGGCTCTGTTCCAACACGGTCAAGGTTATTAGGTGATTAGTGATCACTTTCCCTTAGGTACCTTTTCAGTTAAATTCCATGTATTAAAACCTTATTCATATCTCCTTATCATTTAGATTTCACAAACCTATTATCAGAATTTATCTTTTGTATATCCTGTGGCTTCATTATTATTCGTGGGATACCAAGTTTTGTAGATTTCACAGGTAAAGGTATACCATGAATTTAAATGTTCAATGAAATTTTTTTTTCTCAATCCACGAAAAGGAGTTCCCACGAAAAAACTCAATTCACAGTATATTTTTATAAATCTCTAGATAAATGTTCCCAGAATGCATAAACTATGTCCACTCAAACACCAAACTGAAAAAGATTCTAACAAAATCTACACATACCTGCCCATGTTAATCCTACTACAGAACAGAATATAAAGCCTGCAGCACTTGCTGCTGCCACTAAGAAAAAATATTTAAATTCTGCTTTACTTAAAAATGATTGTGTATACTTCAATGTGGAATAGGCTATCAGCAAGGCAAACACACCTGCAATGAATAAAACATAGGAATAAAAGAGGTGTTAGTATATTTTGATGAGACAGCAACCTGACAATATGAATCAAATGTTCAATCATTAGAAATATGTTGTTACTTTTGTTATTTTCAAATTATAAATTTGAAATTGATTTGAATGTAAATTATATATAAAATATTAAGTTTTTTGGTAATTTACACTGTAGGAGCACTTTATCAAACAGAAGGATATTCTGATCATGTGACACAATTTGTTACCTGCTGATGCCATATGTTCACTTGTTTTAATTGGCTGGAATCCTACAAATGGTATCTGCATTGAACATATTAATCCTACGATGAAAAATGATGTATATGCTGAAAAATAAAAATAAAACATTGTAGCATGAAATTCAAAATCTTCAGTTCATATTTATAACACATCTACTTTAATATTCAAAATATATTTCAAAGTTTGTTAGCAACAATTCTTTTTTATGAGTAAAAGTATGCTGCAAAATGTGTAAATTAAACAATTGTGTGTGTCAGGAAAAATTATGAAATTAAGTGTTATTTCGTAGTTTTGGGGGATTCAAACAGTACAACTTTTTACTTCATGAACCAATGAAGTTTTATATCAAAGATGTAAGACTTACCTATAAAGATTTTTTTAGAATATCTACCCATGAGTAGTAAAGATGTAAGACTTACCTATAAAGATTTTTTTAGAATATCTACCCATGAGTAGTAAAGATGTAAGACTTACCTATAGATTCTTTTAGAATATCTACCCATGAGTAGTAAAGATGTAAGACTTACCTATAAAGATTCTTATAGAATATCTACCCATGAGTAGTAAAGATGTAAGACTTACCTATAAAGATTCTTTTAGAATATCAACCCATGAGTAGTAAAGATGTAAGACTTACCTATAAAGATTCTTTTAGAATATCTACCCATGAGTAGTAAAGATGTAAGACTTAACTATAAAGATTCTTTTAGAATATCAACCCATGAGTAGTAATGATGTAAGACTTACCTATAAAGATTCTTTTAGAATATCTACCCATGAGTAGTAACACAAACACATGAAGTGGTATGAGATTTATAATGAACACATAGCCTCCCCATGCTGAGACCTGGAAAAAAAATATCATAGTTGGTGCTTTACAGCTCAATTATTTCAGTAAGTTGTGTCAGTACACAGAACAAGTTAACTATTTGTTAAGTGAACCATGATTTTTTTAATAAGGTGTGGTAAATAAACAATAATTTGTCAAACTGGTTCAAATGGCATCATGAAGTAACTTTTTCCGATGATGAACTAATGTAACTCCTAAAACAGGTAACAAACAAAGTTTAATAACAGTGAGTACTTTCAGATCCGTAATTTGTGTCTTACATGAAAGTCTTTTTGAACTAATTTTTATACTTTGTTCTTATAGTGTTGTTACATGTGTTACACCACCATCCCAGGTAAGGGGAGGGTTGGATGGCCACAAACATATTTAACCCTTCCATATTCAGTATATGCCTGTCCAAATTCAGGCTGTTATTCAGTGGTTGTCATTTGTTGCTGTATATTATATTTGTTTTTAGTGTTGTACATAATCAGACTGTTAGTTTACTCCTTAAATTATTTTACAATTGTCATGTCGAGTCCTTTTATAGATTGATTTGTGGTACGGGTTTAGTTCATTTTTAGAAGGATGTACTGTGACCTATAGCTTCCTACTTTTATGTCCTTTGGTGTTTGGTGGAAGGTTGTCTCATTGGCGATCATACCACATTTTCTTCTTCTTATATTTTTATTGATTCTATGGAAAATCAAACAAATCGATATCTCTGAATTACCTATTCTTTGTACTCACTCAAATACTACAGATTCATTAACATTTGTCGGATATTTAGTTTCGTGAATTTCGCTTATAAAGGTGAACAAAGAATTAAGGAATTGAACAAAATACAAAATATTTAGAGGCTTGTCTGCAGAATATGTCAAAATCACAAATACCAATTTCCACAAACAAAAAATTCTCTTCACTGCACCAAATACAGGTATCCCCCAAAAAATTTACTCTGTAGCAGGTAAACTGTAAAAATATTTGTATAACTAGAATAAACATATTTGTACAAATGCTAGAAATAACATATTCATATAAGAGCTAACAAAAATGTGTCCATAGTACACGGATGCCCCACTCGCACTATTATTTTCTATGTTCAGTGGACCGTGAAATTGGGGTCAAAACTCTAATTTGCATTAAAATTAGAAAGTTCATATCATATGGAACATGTGTACTAAGTTTCAAATTGATTGGACTTCAACTTCATCAAAAACTATCTTGACCAAAAACTTTAACCTGAAGAGGGACAGATGGACGGACAGACCGAAAAACATTATGCCCCTAGGTGGGGCATAAAAATATCATTTTGGTATGGAAGTACTCAAGCTTAACAGGCAACAAATGTCTCAAACTTACCATATAAAAATAAGATAAAGCTGTTAAAACTGCCCAGAACACAGATCCTGTTTTTACTGCTTTAATCTGAAACATAATAATATACTTTTGCTATTTAACTCGATTATTAATGATAAATAATTTTATTGCATACATTTTTCATTCAAATCAATGCAGAAACATTTGGATTTAATTTTTCTCTAAAGTATCTTGTAACATTCTTATGGTCCATAATTTTATTGCTTAAGTGTTTTCCACCAAAATCAATAAAAAGTCTTTTGTATTTCTTTGTAAGATATCTTGTACATTTTCTGTTGATTCATTATTATTTGTTGGATACCAATTTTCATGGATTTCGTGGTTACATGGGAACCATGAATTTAATTGTCCTAAGAATTTACAACTTTTTTTTTATAGAAATGTATGCAGACTTTGGCAAAATTTAATATCCACAAAAATGTAAGTTTTCCTGAGTTCACAAAAAACAAATGAATTCACAGTAAATGGCCAAAAAATTATGATCCGATTGTTTTATGATTAGTAAGTTACTGCACTGTTAATTCTTCTAATTTTTAGTGATGATCTTTATATCTAAAATTTGTCTTTGTACTTTCTTGATTAATCTGGTTACATTCAGCGAAAAGCAGTTTTTACGGTCCATACTTATCTTCAATTTTTGTTAATTTGCATTTAAAACAGATGCTCTGTGTTAGTAAACATGTAAAAAGTTTTATGGTACAGAAAAACTTTCATATCAACAAATCAAATTCGAAACTGATCTTTATTTATCAATGTTGTGCACACAATTTATCAATAACATATATATATACACAAGTCTAAATTGAAAACAACGTTCAAACCTATGATTGTGTTGGATAAAAACCGCATTTTTTATACATGTGCATGCAAAACAAATTTCTTGTTAGAGGGGTCTAAATACAGCACAAACAACATTTTCCAAAAGACCAAAAAAGTGAAAAAGTATATCTTAACAAAACGCATTTGACTAACAGTCGAACAACAAATGTTCTTAAACCCTGCTGACTGCCATTGGCGATTATAAATGGATCTTAATCTTAAATTTAATATATATATATATATGTGTGTGTTAGTTACGAACTGATTTACCTACCCATAAATAATATGTAAACATTAAGGCAAATATAGCTATTCCTTCATTGTCATAACTTCCTGCTACGGAACGACTGATATAGCCTGGCACTACAAAATAAAAGTTAGAAGACAATTAAAAACTTTTTGTTGTAAAGTACCAGTCCATTTAAGAATCATGCAGAATCTTGTTGCCTAGAAACAATTTTTTCTTTTAATCTTAATTAGAAAAAAAAAACATTATGTTGAAATTCATGTATAATTTCCCATATAAACGCTTATCAGGTGAGATGTTAATTCCATAGAATGCACCATAAACATGTGATGGGGGAGATAACTCTCTTAGAACTCTATTGAATATATTGTAATAATGCATGCAAATTATCTGTCAAAGTTAGGCAGAAACGGGAAAATATCACCCATGTATTTAGTTTGCAAAATGCTATTTTAAAAATGTATATCAACAGAATATTTTACTTTTGTTTGTCTGTAATAACAGTAATATATGATAATGCCAAATATACCATTTAATCATATGAATATCAGAGTACTGGTTAATGCTTTGCTATTTACTTTTTCCAGGTAATATGATGGATTGCCGACACTATCTGACATATTTTTGAAACAAGACACTGAAAGAATGATCTAAACCAAAGTTTTGTTCAAATTGGCTCTTCAATTTCAGATGCAATTTTTTAAATGTCTACACACAACACTGCCATGTGATATAAATAGGTCATCTATTGGCCAGGTGAGGTAAAATAAAACTGTGTCATTAAATTTCTACGTAAAATAAGAATGTACTGTTATACACAAACCTATAGCTATAAAGCATGCAGCAAACAGCCCTGCTCCTTGACTCCAGACTTCTTTGGTGAAAAAGTAAGTTGCCAGTGCTGTTAAACCACTGTAAATAAAAAATGTTTATAAATCAATTTTTGTTAAAATACTGTAAATAATTTTTTTTTATTAGTCATTTTATAAATATTTATTTTGTTTAATTTTTTTTCTTACGTGTATATACTTGTTGCAAATGCAAGATAAAATTTTTCGCCACATAAAACTTAAAAAATACCTGGGAAATAAATATCACATTATTATACACTTTGCACTTTTGTCTTTTTTTGTATATGTTTTTGCGTACAGTACCGATCTGATGATTCAAGCCCTTTCCAACTGATTTTTACAGTTTGTTTTCATTTTGGGTTGTTGTACCAGGTTACGGGGAAGTTAAAACTCACAAACATGTTTAACCCCTCAACATTATTTATGTGCCTTGTATCTAGCCAGGAGCTAGTAGTCCAGTGGTTGTCATTAGTTGTTGTCTGCCATAATTATTTTAGTTTAATAAATCAGGCAGTTGGTTTTCTCTTTTGAATTGCTTCTCATTTTGTCATCCCAGGGCCTTTTTTAGACCAGAAAATCAAAAGGATTAATATTTACCTAGTCAGAAAAAGTATTTACTTAAAAAAAAAATTAATAAGAGTAAACACATGTCAAAAGGCGATGTGAGACAAATGTCCACGAAACAGCAAACCAATGACTTAAATATTCAAAGACAATGTAGCCAAAATATAGTTGCCAACAATAGACAAATGTCATTTAAATATGTTTAGGTCTAAATCGCCCAGGTCTGTAGAAGTTAAGAATAAATTAATTTTCCCTTGCTATATATAGTCAGGAGCCTGTAATTCAGTGGTTGTCGTTTGTTGCTGTATTTCATATCTGTTTTTCGTTCATTATTTTGAAACTAAATCAGGCCGTTAGTTTTCTTGTTTCAATGTTTGAATTGTTTTACATTTGTCATTCAGGGCCTTTTAAAGCTGACTATGTGGTATGGGTTTTGCTCATTGTTGAAGGCCGTACGGTGACCTATACTTGTTAATTTCTTTGCCATTTGGTCTCTTATGGAGAGTTGTCTCATTGGCAATCGTACCACATCTTCTTATTTCAATAAACACAAACTTCCAAAGATCTGTCATCAACTAATTTCCTAAAGGATGCAAAATGCTAAAATTTAGCAACAGACAACCACTGACAAGGTTCCTGACTTTAACAGGTTAATGAACATGTCACAGCTGATAAAGTGATTGACAAAGTACTGTAATCTTACTATTCTCAATCATTTTATATGTCTGTTCAGTCTCCTATTCAGGTTTTTTCTAATTAATATACATTTGGTTTTGGCCTCTAGTGACTGTGTACAAGAGTTAAATGAACCCAACAAAAACATGTATCTATTCCTGTTAATAGCATCAACTAACCTGAATATTGGTGCTAAAAATACACATATATCTCTAATGTGAACTGGTATATTGAGGTGACTTAAGATCCAGTGTATAGTACCTGATGTCACCATCAATCCAGGGTAAACCTATAATAAATAGATACATTCAATTCACAGTACACTTACAATAAACAGATACATTCAATTCACAGTACAACTATAAGAAATAGTTACATTCAATTCACAGTACACCTATAATAAATAGAATCATTCAATTCACAGTACACTTACAATATATAGATACATTCAATAAAATTCACAGTACACTAGACGATAAGTAAACATATCCTATTCAATAATATTGTCAGGATTTAAATAACACATTTTTTGGTTCAATTTGTTCATAAATTATGTCAAAGTATGTAAATGTTATAAGATTAAGGTTGCTACTTATTACATTGACTTTCATTATCTCAAATTTTAGCTTTCCAAACAACATCTCAAGCACACCGATTGAAGGTTATTCCAGAAACCTGTGTTGTGCGAATCATGAAAATCATATTAAGGAGTACGTTTTTTTTTACAATAAATGATTCTAGGTAAAATGAAACAAAAAAGAAAATAAGGCATCAGTTTCTTCAACACAACTCAAATTATCAAGTACTGTGGTTTTATTTATTTTCATGGATACCGATTTTTGTGGATTTTTCGTGATTTTACCAAGTCTGCATACAAGCTTATGGAAAATTTTAAATTTGTTGAACATTTAATTTGTGGTTCAATTGTACACACAAAATCCACAAAAAATGGTATTCCATGAATAATAAGGAATCCAGTGCTTCTTAAATCAAATTTATTCAAACCTCTATATTCTGATATTGTTGCATTTTGTTATTCTGTTAATTTTCAAAAAATAAATTAATTGACAAAGTGAAATCATTATGTGTTCCAAAATCTGCATAAAAGACAATAAAAAATTTAGACTTTGTTGAACATCTAAATTCCTGTTTCACCTTTATGCAGATGCATATACATAGCACATTAGTAAATGATTAGTTAGTTAATTATTAATATTTATACTCACAGTACCCCCTACAATCCTCCCTAGAGGATACCATGCTCTGTCATCAAACCAATTTAGAAAATTATAAAATCCATTTTCTACCATATAATGTGTTGACCTGTAGTTAAACCTACAAAATACACAAGAAAATAATTAGCAACAGTTATCAGTAATTCTTATATCATTTGCATATCTACAAAGCGTGAATGTATTTGGTCCATTAGAATATGTTTCCTTGGTTTACTCTGTAATAGACCATGTAAACACTATGTCGATTTCACTGTGATGTATTAACGAGTGAAACACATGAATTGAAATCCTGGAGTTCCAAGAAAGTAAAAATTGAAGGAAAAAAGTTAAAGTTTGGTTGAGAATTGAAAGGGTTAGAAAACATTTTTTTTTTTAGTTTATTGATGTGTAAACTGGGACATATGAACAGACCATGTTACACAATCAAAAGTTCAACTGAAAATATTATATACGAATAATAAATAAAAGCTGTGCCATGAGCGCATAATACGTCCATTGCAAACTGGACAGTTTTCGACAATTTTTCAACTAATAAAGTTCTATAACTCTGCAATGTCATATCAGAAATTTACAAAAAAAAACCAAAAGGGAGCTTATTTCAATAGATATAAAAAGAGTCACCAAAGTTTCATGATAACAACTAAAAGTGTTTTTGAGTTATTGTCAGGAATACTGGAAAATTCCCCCTTTTTTATGAATAAATTACGGATATTTCAAAAGTTTGACGTAAAATCAGAAATTTAAAAAAATCGAAAGGGAACTTATATCAATATAAATAAACAATTCACACAAGTTTCATGAAAATTGTTCAAGGCATTTTTGAGTTATTGTCGGAAAAGTGGAAAAATTCCGCATTTTTTATGAATAAAATCCCACAACTCAGAAATGTAAAATCTAGTATTTATAAAAATCGAAAGGGAGCTTATGTCAATATATATAAACAATTCACCAAAGTTTCATTAAATTTGGTGAAAACGTTATATCTTAGGCCAAAAAAAAATATATGTCTGTTTACGGTTACCCAACCGACCCTAAGTCATTTTATTTCCGTCGTAAAGTGAAAAATAAACTAAACTTGTGTCAAAAGTGAAGTTAGTGTTGCCAATAATATAAATCAATTGCCTGATACATCCCAATGTTCACAATCGTGAATATGATAGTTGTTTTAAGGAAATTCGCGACTTGTGTGATGAAATAAACACTTTGCCGCCATTTTTTTCCAACCAATAACCAAGGGAAATATTCCAATCATTAAAAATGCAGGTAAACTCGGCCCATGATCAACCTGGACCACGACAAGACGAAACCGCATGACTCAAAATCATGTCACAAAAATAAAATGAAAAGATAAAATAAAATAGAAATACTGACCTACCTACTCTATTTTTTTTAAAGTATGTAACCTTAAACAGACATACATTTTTTTTTGGCCTTACTGTTTGACATGTTGATGACGGACGGACAACGGTATACCATAATACGTCACGGAAACGGGCGTATAAAAATAAATGGTGGATGGTTTCATTTTCCAGATGATACTATAAAGATTTACATATAATTAAAAAAAAAAAAAATATTTTTGTTGAGTGTTGTAATATAAATAGTGTCTCCCAACAGGCAACACCCTCATCTATCACAGACATTTAAAATTATGCAACAACTCTATTAAGTCATCAGGCAAAATATTCAGAAAAATAAGCATATGGAGACTTTTATACCTTGCTACGGCTACGGGTTTTGCTCATTGTTGAAGGCTGTATGGTCGTACGGTGACAAATAGTTGCTAACTTCTGAGTCATTTGGTCTCTGGTGGAGAGTTGTCTAATTGGCAATTATACCAAAACTTCTTATTTTAATTTTCTATTGTTAATTTATAATGCCCGTTTATATGAGTTCAATGGAGTTATACACATCCAATTTAATCATTCAAAGTACTAAAATTATTCAGATTTTGATTTATTGATTCCATACTCATAGCCATGGGGTTGGACAAAGTCACCCCACCCCCCTCCCCATCTGAAAGCAAAAAAGCATTCAGGAGTATTTAAGTTGAGATTAAGATTCAGAGTGACATGTCCCAAATATCCCTGTCAGAGATATACTGGCTACAAGCTAGTATTCAACACATAAGAATGCAATATATATTCTAAATTGATCCCCTAAAAAAAAAACCTGACAAACACACACATTTTTTACTTTGAAAATTCCTGAAATCTCTGATTTAATATTTTAAAATGAGTCCAGGGATTGTCTAGGTAAGTTGTAAGGATCCTGTTAACTTTGTAAAACCTTTGAAAATGGTTACAATGTACATTTGTACATGATGTATTGCAACACCAATCATATAATGTTTTAATAAATCAATTGAAAAAATACATTTATAACCTAAAAACAGGATTAAATGAATAAAACAGAATTGATAAGGTAATTGACAAGTGCATTGTATAAAACCTCTACATTTGTAGCCTGAGGTTCAAAACACATATATAACAATTATGCTTCCTGGTCTGCCACGGACCATTTATGTACATACAAGGTGAAATGGTTAAAAGATCATGCTGTTGGTTTTGAGTTTAAACACTATAAATCAATGTGATTGTTTGATTTTTGCAGGGATGGGGAGATAATACTGACATAAAATGTTAATTCAATATACAGGAAAACATTTCAAATGTGTTTTTTTTTTATTACAGTCAGTTCAAGGAAAAACTGAAACAATCTTTGCTTTAATTTCCTAAAAATTGGGGAAAGTCAGCCAACAGAAATGTTTTTTTTTTTATTTCACTAAGGTAAACAATAGACAGTGATAGATCCAACATTGTGAATTGTATGTCCGCAAACGACAAAACATTACATCTCTTCAATGAACAATTGTTTCAAAAGCAAAAGTACACGAAATAATTCATTTGTAAGTCAATGCCACTGATTTCAGCACTTGTTCCTTTAGAATAGAAAATAAATCGAACAAGAATGTGTCCAAAGTACACAGATGCCCCACTCACACTATCATTTTCTATGTTCAGTGGACCCTGAAATTGTGGTAAAAACTCTTAATTTGGCATTAAAATTAGAAAGATCATATCATAGGGAACATGTGTACTAAGTTTCAAGTTGATTGGACTTCAACTTCATCAATAAAGTGCTTCGCCAAGCGCTGCTGGATACAACCGCAGAGGTCCAACCCTGCAGGGTTCGACACTAACGCTAGTCCGCTAGCCCGAGGCTAGTAAAAATTAGGGAGGGCTAGTAAAGTTTTCATCACAGTAGTCCGACGGGCTAGTCAAAATTTTGTTTAAAACTAGGAATTTCACAAAATTTTAATTGTCAACAAATCCCAGATTTTTTGCTGACCTTTGCTGTCTTTATGGTACAGTTTATTCACGTATATTTTGATTGTCAGACATGTTGTACATGAAAGGTACTTTTTGGGGAGGGGAAAGAAACGGAAACAATGATGGTACTTAATACATTGAAAACCACGTGTGTTACAAACCCTGAGATGATTCTAATCAGAAACCTGGATCTCAAAAGTGCTTTCATAATATCAAAATAATAACATGAATACGAAATTTACATACATTACTACCGATACCATCACTGTTTGGGAAAAATGTACAACTTATTGGGAGGAATTAAAATTAAGCCATTTTTTTTAGTAATTGGGAATTTTCTCTAGGGGAAAAAGCTGTATTTTGAATGTAATTTGAGGCAAACAATATCACTGAATTATCGTCATAAAAACAAAATTATAGGTCTCTGCAAGGATTTGTATACTATACAATTCCTTGGTCTCTGGTAAAAAAAAAAACTGAAACAACAAGAGAAAAGAAGGAGTCCATGAATAATTATGACAAAAAACAGCAAGGGCAAACCTTTCCTCTTTTATGGGTGTTTTTTTAAATCCCTAACTTATCCATCTTCATTAAAGACACTAGTAATAATGATAAGTAAAATGAGGATGATGATGAAGTAATGATCTAAAGGGGTCTTCAAAATAAGTCAAACACAATCTTAATATAGATGATTAAAATATGAATTTTTTTTTTGGGGGGGGGGGTATTTTTTATTAGCAAACCAGTGAAATTTCATGAAACAAAACATGTTCAAAACCCTCTGGAAATGCTCCAGAACACAGGATTTAGCTCCATTTGTATCAAAAATTTTTTGGGGGGCATGCCCCCAGACCCTCTTAGATAGGAGCTTCGGCACTTGGAGGGCTAGTGAATTGACAAGAGGACTAGTAGAATAATAATTTCACTAGCCCTGTAGGCTAGTACATACATTTAGTTAGTGTCAAACCCTGCCCTGAACAGTTGGGGCAAAAATGGACACATTATTCAAGCTTGATACAGGTCTGAATTTGGATTGTAATTAAATATTTGACACATTATAGGTTTCTGACACAGAATAAATGTAGTCAAAGAACTTGAAATTGGTTATATGATTTGAATTTTTATTCAATTGAAGATTTCTTGCTGTTGTGCAATACACAGTGCTGTTGCGCAATACTTAGTAAATCTGTTTTTTTAGACTATATACAAAGAATTGTGACCCCCAATTTTTTTTTTGGAAAATTGATTATTTCTTAAATCTTGAGGGGAAAAAAATTGACACATTAGCTAGCATAGAAGCAAGTTGGACCAACTTGTGTTTAATCCTTTATGCAATAATTTGCATAAAATTATAAATTATGTTTAAACTAATAAAGATACCATTAATTATATTAGCTACCAATCAGACAATTAATCAAAATATGATTTTTCTTTTTTCTTGCTTAAATTTTCAGACTTGATCATACGAAATCTTAATTCATTGATTGAACATGCTTGCTGACTGAAGCTTTCATATCAAAAGAGATAAATCCGGAGATATTCAGGTTGCCAGAATCACAATCTGTAATCTGTTTTAATCAGTTGGAATTTATAAGGCGTTTGTACACACATATTGATTGCTTAACTTTGAGAGGGAATCAAAGTAAAAAATGGACCTGGTTCATCGTTGCAAAAAAGAGTACCGAATTCAGGCTTGTATAGTCCGCGGTTTTATTCTCCAAAATTGAACCTGCCAGACAGGGATGCAGACTATAGTCCAATAAGCAAGAAATAAGAGAAAAATTTCGATTTCACAGGGTTTGTTGACGTTCCGCCATGTTTGTTATTGAAATTCTAGAGGGCGCTCTTCTCATTTCTAAAACGAATAATATTACCTAATCCATATTAATATGTAATTATTATTCAATATCAAATATAAACTGATAAATTTCAAAATTAAATTCTTCAATACAAATTTCTCCTTTCTTTTCATTGCATTGCCTAAAATTTACTGGAATCTGCTTGAATTTAGCGGAACGAAAAAAAGTGCAGAAGACAACCGGGAACCAGCTTATGAATAACGATGTATAAAGTACAAAACGTAATCGCTTATTCATTCCGATTTGGTGTTTCATACTGAGGCATGTGTTTTGTTTTAGCTTAAGATCCTTCAAACATTAATGTGATAGATATGTTAAACATTATTTTACTCAAGGATGGAACTTTATTTTCAAAGTGATATTCAAGTGATATCTGTTAAGTACGGACTTTCAGTACACTCTCACCATGTTTATTTTCATTTACATGTGCTATTCAAACTTCCAGTTTAAACATACACAAGTTTCTATATTGTATTTTTTTGTGATTTTGACTTATTTTAACACTCGTGAAGTGCTCTAGAATCATTTACAAGCATTTTCAACTTATATTTGATGAACATGATGAACAGATTTTTCCATGAAAATACCGCAAACGATCACACATGATTTGAAATTACTGGAGTTTCATTAGATGTTTTCTAACAGTTACAAAAAGTTTTTTTTACCTGAAATTTTGTAGCAAGAAGGGGGGTGCGGACAATGTACACATGATGTACCAGTGCGAACTATATAAGGCTGATTACGGTATAAAATCAGACTCACTGAAAGTTTTCTACAACCATACATATTGCAGACTTTGTCAATGCTATTGAAGGTCCATTCATAATAGACGTATTTACACTTGTATGCAAATTTGTCCGCCATTACATAAAATCACACAGGTTCCCGTAAACATTGACATCATAATTCAAAACATTTGACGTCACAATTAAAAAGTGATTGTTGCCTGATGTCAAAAGGTGATTTGGAGTAGATCTAAGGTCATTCGGAGGCAAAATATAGCTAAATACCAAAAGTGTAAATACGTTTATAGATTTTAATGTGGACTTAATGTTTATAAGGTGGTGTTCTACAGGAAAACCAAAGCATCCTGTGTTCAACCCATACGACTACAGAATGGATATGTCCATAAGAGAACCTGATTGATATAGGTAATGATAATGAATGAGTCCACCATAAACTCCACACGTGATGGTGACATTAAGTCAGAGAACAAACATTGGAATGGCAAATAACCATTGAAAATAAAACAATTTTTAATGTAGTATTTTTAATTCAGTTACAGACAAATTTAAATAACAACAAATCACTCCCCATCAGGTTACGAAAATATCCCAAAGTGTTAAGGACTCAAGTTTTGTAAGAGGCTGGACAAATTGATTTTCTTTCAACTTGCATTTGTTTTAATGGACAAGTTAGAAAAAGTGATAGTGTAGCTAGACCTGTGATGTCAGAACACTATCTCTGAAAATGCTTTGAACAAAGTTAAAGATAAATACAATGTGTAACCCAATGTCACTTCCTGACATTAAGGTGAAGGGATTAAGAATCACAATATATATAGAACTATTCAAATGCCACTGAACATTTTGCCAGTTGTACCATTCAGCCTACAGCACAGAATAGCAAACTATCCCAGCCTCCTGGTATGCATTTTCTATCGGGTATTTTTTTTTATCAGATTGGACGAAAGATAGGGCATCCCAATTCACTGGATATAGTTTATGTAGATGGGCATCCATTGTATGTAGAGGCCAAGGTGATCCCTGCCTAACAGTAACAGCCATGAGTGTGCAAAGTGAGAGATTTGATTTTTATCAGATTTTTCCTTGGTACACGTTTTTCATCATGTTCATTTCAGTCAATCACAGAAAGATTGTAATAATTCTACATGCATCTTTGTTATATAGACATTTCTTGATTCAAAATCAAACGAGCAAACGTCAATAAATAATTAGCATATGTGTGTGGTAATTATGTTGTTGGCACATGCAGGAAACCGCAAAACAGTCACTTACCACGGATCAAACTCATGAATTATACTTTCGAAACGAATGACAGCAAATAAACGTGAGCTAAAACCCACAATCCAAGCTAAAGTCAAAATAACAAATGTCAATAAGCTTTGTAAACCGCCGGGATTCCACATTGATGATCGGATGTCTGCTTTCACACCGGCGTCCGCCATGTTGATTTATGCTAGCTTCCGCCACGTTATTTTGGTCAGCCAATCACACTATGGCATGTGCCATTTACACAGTGTGCTGCGCAAGAGTCGATAACACGATTTTCTTCGGTAATGCCTAGACCACAACAGACAACATAACAATCGAGATTTTTTTTCAAATGACAATAAAACATTTATAAAAAAAAAAAATTGCCATACTAGGCCTAATCTAATCTAACGTATCGAAACCCCTTTTTAGAGGAACAATATTTTCATATGTAGAACAGACTCTCTCTTTGAGTCTGAAATAAGGATTACCTTATCTTGTCTTATCTGTATATACAGTGCTGGTTCTCCCTCCAACATCCGCGACATCTAACCATATTTTCAAGTGTAGCATACGACAGAACCGTCAATGAACGAATACTGATACCCAAATCAAATCATAAATATATATTTAACAGTACACATTAATAAGTATGTTCGCTATACTATGTTTCAAAATAACAAGCCATTTTAAATTACTTTTATAAATTGATAGTCATATATTACTGAACTAAAAAAAAGCAGAAAAACTACAAGGTCCGCAGATATATCAAGCCATTATAATTTGGCCGGAAAGTTCTCTCTATATTTTTCATAAATTTAACTTCGACAGAGGCACGTTTTTTCCATCAAAAAACTACACCAAACAACACGGATTTTCATGATAAGATTTTCAAAAATGCCTTTTAAACAAGGATTTGTATAAATTTGTCATACTTATCTAATCTAACTTATCGAAACCCATCTTACTATAAAAATCCTTGTTTAAACTATATATGTAACAAATTATGTAAATGAAAGTATATGTAGAGGCTAGCGGGTAAAATTATTAATTGCATCACAGATATAAATACTTTTTGGCGACCTATTTCCGTATATTTTATATAGAAATGAATTCATATAACAAATCTTGCATAGGCTTGGTTGTGTGTTGTAAAAGTTGGTTTCCGTCTCCGGTATTTTATTTCTGATACAGGGTCAACGAATTTGAATTTCCATTCAGGCAGAGGAATAAGAAAACGTGAAATGAAATTTGGGGAAATACTAGGTCATATGGCTACAGCTCGAGGAGCATGGTCGTTGCGCCCGTACCATATCAAGGACGAATCCAAAATTCTCCTAACAAAGCTTTCGGGAATGAAACTGATACAAAATGATTGTTTTAAAATTTTAATTTGTTAAAACTTATCCTGGCATTTATTCAAAGTATAGAAAATAACAAAATGAAAAAAAAAAATAAAATAATGCATGGATAAAATCAAAATAACAAATAAAAAAAAAAAATCACACCTAAATGCCACATAGAATTGAGAATGGAAACAGAGAATATGTCAAAGAGACAACAACCCGACCAAAGCAAATCATATCATTATTCTCTAAAGTTTAGTATTGTCAACTACAAAATTACATAATCAGCAGATAAGGGAAATGTAACAGTTGTAACATGTGGCTCATTTCGTAAATGAGTTGATACAAGAAGACATTAATGGGATATTAATTTGGCGTTTCTTTCATTCACGGACTACGACGACGACGACAGACGTTTGGTTATGACAAAAGCTCACATGTTTTAATGGATGCCTCACCACTTCTGCTTGAGATGCTTAATCTGCCACCCCGTTGTACATGAACAATTTACCTTAAAACCAAGAAGTTTTGACTTGGAAGCTGGCATGAGGTCTAATTATATGACATTTATTCCTTTCTATACAAAAGATGCGGAATTAATAGGTCGCCGAAAGGTAGTTTTTATCCTAAAACTTACATTCGGAGTCTCACAATCTGCGACACGGCAAACTGAGGAGTGGTTTTTGAGAAAACATTGCTCTTCAGAAGTCTGTTTTCAATCGCTCGAAATTGATTATGTGTTGGTACCTTCTGTGTAACACATTATTGGGGTTAAAAATTGTCAAAAGAGAAAGTTTTATTCTTTATCTTACCTTGATCGTTTTTTCTTCGAAAACGCTTTCCGTGTCAAGCATAGACAACACCCCGCATGTGGCGTTTTTCACGGTGTTATTTAAAATCGTCAAATCGTCATTTGAAATTAACAGACTACAGGAAAAGGGTATTAATTTGACTGAATTAGTTAATATCTACGCGGTATAAAGCGAGTCCCACCAATTTGAATAGACCATAAGCCTGAAATTATTGTCTGCTTGTCGTTTTACCTTTTCTGGGTGTGATGTTTGATATAACTGAATCAAATCACTTATATTGAAAGAAATATAAAAAATAACCCATATTTGAAATATCTCAAAATTAAGCTGTTCGATTAACTTAGAGATCAAAATGTGTAAGAACAAATATCAAACAAACAAATGGCGAAACAATACATTGAATTAAACTTTAATATATCATATACTGACATCAGCTGTATTCCATTCTGTTATATCATTTTGTGTCCATATTCAATAAATGAACTGTAGACCACCTTTAAACAGATGATTGAAAAAGCATGAATATACAGGCGAAAGTTGAAATGCAAATGATAGTTGTTAGGTTTCGAAAACTTGATATGTCCTTTTAAAAAAGAAACAGATATATAATTCCAGGACGCACCAGAACAATATAAAAAGCCAAGTCTAGCTATATTGTCGTGAATAAGTGCATTATATCTGAGACGCACTTCTTTTCCACCTAACATGGTCCCTATAAGAATAAATGCTTCCTCCCAAGTTGACTATTTTTTTTTATCTTTAAAACGGTTAGTATTTTAGTGAAATTTAGTTGAGTTTTATCTTTACGATTGTCAGTTGTTTATTGAGTAACCTCCCTTTAGCCTCAAATAATTAAAAATGAGCATTATAAAAGATTTCCAAGAGGAGGAAAAGAAGTTGACATACAGATATTTGTTAGATTTCAGGTAAATATTTTCATAATTATTTTTGAAAAAGACTGACCGTTTGAAAGTGGACACATAACATTGATGATTTTTAAATAACCACTTCTGTATTAAAGAACATTCTTTCAGGTCTTATACCGAGAAGTCTTGAAATTGGCTGAAACCGAAATCATCAAATAGTCAAGCAGCACATCAAAGCTTTAATGAATAAGTAAAAACTGCGAGGCAACTTAACACGAATTCATACCTATAATGTTTACTTCTAATAGTATAGATTTGGGAAAACGCCAAGAATAATTCGAATAAAAAAATTATAAATAGGAGGTGCTTAATAATATTTTGTGAGGAAGATTAGATAATAACTTTAACGGTACCATTTCTTCTGACCAGTGGGCATTTCGACAATTTATGTCTCTTCAGTAATGTTCGAGGCCAAAATAATTTAAAATCCAAAATTTATTTGAATGTTGAAGAGCTGATAAAACCAAATGGGACCACAATTAAGGTAAAGCAAATTCGGACAAGTTTCACCTGAAATTATCCCAGTGGTGTTAGAGGACCTGTGGATACAAGACGCCTAGACTCTTTAGCGGATGTGACTAAATCCATGTTGCCTTCTGCATTGGTTAACGGGACTTTTTGAATATGAATATTTCCACAGGCTGTTCTGATGATTTTGAGATTTTATGTCATGGTGAGTGCTTGTTGAAGTACATTTCGCGTATATATATATATATAGAGAGAGAGTAAATAACAATTAGGTAAATCAAATGGTTATTTAATCAGGACAGCTTTTGATAATAAAATCTAGTTAGACCATCTATGCCACCAAATAAATCCATAAAGGTTTAAGATTTATACCGAAAAAAAACTTTTTGGAGTCATATTATAACATAATTTTTTGTCACTTCATCAAGATTACATAACTTGTTAAAATCACATGTAAAATTATATTAGATATATAATACATAAATATATACAACTTTATCAGTAACACGGGTACAAAATTAATGACCTTAATTGTCTATCTAATAATCGGGGTCATCAACGACAATATAACATCGTGTACGTAAATAATAAATAAATTTGGATAATTATAAAGCTATACTCATGTGGACATTAAAGTATGGATTTTTTAATAAGCCTCGTAATTTTGTATTGTTTTGGATATAGTGAAAGCATAGCAGAAACAACAAAATATTTAAATAGTTGCTCAGATGCTGGTGGAAAGAATTCCTTTTTCACGATGGATGAAAATACAAAAGTAGGCTACGTTTTGTATAACATCAGCAATATAGATAACTATTCATTTTACGTTAGTCCTGGTGCACCTGTATCTACGACCATTGAAAATAATTTTGGACTTATTCGACTGATAGAATCAATTGATTATGAAAATCATACACTATATACATATAGCCTTGTGTGCAAATACAAATATGACATGAGTATAATTGTCCGAAATATTATTGAAGGGAGATTGTCATTCGAAAAATCAACATACATGGCGTCTACATTAAGCATCAAAGCAGTCGGATCAGTAGTCATTCCCAGTATAAGGATCCTGTACACAGATGCAGATTCTAGTGACATTAGATTTAATATGACACAATCTGAATTTTTCTTATCATACATAAGACCGGGTATTTTCCAATTACAACAAAGGAAACGTTTGGTAAAGTCTGTGTACAAGTTCCAACTTACTGCATACCTAGAAGGCTTTCCAGACAACAACGATACAGCTTCAATTGTTATCAACGTTGTCGACAACAATCTGTCCAATGTTTCTGGAAGCTGTAAGGAAGATATTTACATAGATCTTACTATCGTATTTGGAATCTTAACCGGAATTCTTCTACTTCTTCATGCAGTTGAAATCCGGTGGTTAAATAAAGTAAAACGTACAAAGAAAAAAACTGATATTGTTACTACAAAACAAATCTTTGTGTAATAACAAATTTTATCTCTACACATCATACTTTGATTGTGTGTAATAACAAAATTTCATTAAAAAGGGCATACGTTTGGTTGCTGTCTACCATCAAGAATGATATTAGTTATCTAAATGAACAGCACCAGTATTATAACAATTATCATTAGAATTAGATCGAATAAGCATTAGCAACAGAGAAATCT